ACAGCGCCACTTCCGGTTTTCTGGTGGTTTATTGGAGATAGGAGTCTCACGGTCTCTCCTGCCTGGGCTGGCTTTGAACCGTGATCCTCAGATCTCAGCCTCCTGAGTAGCTAGGATTACAGGCGTGAGCCACCAGCACCCGGCTAATGAGTCATATTTTTTTAACCCTTCTTCTTCTTTACTCTCACTTAAATCTTTCCCAGTGTTATTGTTATTTTTAGAGAATGGTATGTTGTCTTGTTCATGAATTTTTTTTTTTTTGGTAGGTCATGGGGCTTGAACTCTGGGCTTGGCGCTATCCTTCAACTCTTCAGCTCAAGGCAAGTGCTCTACTGCTTGAGCCACAGCACCACTTCGGTTTTCTAGTAGTTTATTGGAGATAAGAGTCTCACGGACTTTCCTTCCCCAGCTGGCTTTGAACTGTGATCCACAGCTCTCAGCCTTCTGAGGAGCTAGGATTACAGGTGTGAGCCACTGGAGCCTGGCTTGTTCATGAATTTTGTGATCTTGCACTGTGACTTATACCTGTGGGTTCAGTGATTGTGTGGCATGTTCAATGTAGGTATAGAGTTCAATTGTGTTGGGAAGCATTGATGTGGAACCCTCTGTGCCCCTGTGGAGGCTTTTCCCTAAAGGAGTGTGAAGGTTTATTGGTTGCCTCCTGAGGCCTTCAGAGAGTGTCAGATGCTGTTTGTGTCAATGTCTCTGTCATTTTCCCCAGATTTCAGGTTTGAAGTTGTACACATCTTTTCCTCCACAGGTGAGGTAGGCATGCTGGTCTCAGGAGCAAAAAAGAACAGGAAAAAAAAAAGAATAAAAAGAGTGGCTAGCTTGTGGATCCCCTGGTGGCCTGGTGGGCAAGCTCTGAGTATGGTGCCCCACTCACATTATATGGGGCCTCCTCTTGATTTTTAGTGCATGAGCCTTTGAGGTTATCTCCAAATCAATACCTTAATAAAGATGGTTATGCTTGTCTTGATCCCCCTGTTCTCCTGCTGGTACTAGGGTTTGAACTCAGGGCCTTGTGCTTGCTTGACCTGCTGGCTCCAGCTTGGCTTTTTCCTGGTTATTTTTAGAGGTGGATTCTTGTATACTTTTCTGCTTTTCAAACCACAATCTTCTGGATCTCAGTCTCCTGGGTAGGTAACATTACAAGCATTAGCCATGGCTCTGACTTGATTTTTTTAAGGTGACAAAGAACATTAAGATACATTAACATTAGCTTATGTATTTAACCCTAATGTGGAAAGTAAACTATACAACTCATGACAGCCAGATTTCCTGAACAAACCTCCATAGCATTGGGCCTCATGGAAACCTGAACTGGTCAGGAAGGATGAGTAATTCAGAATGTAAGGCTGTTATGGGGATGGGACCATTTTTTTTGTCTCCATCAGAAAGAGAGATTATCTGCTCCAGGTTTTATGCCATACCATTATGAGTACTCAGTAGATCTCCATCACTTTCCTTCCTTTCTTCTTCCTTCCTTCCCTTCTTTCTGTTTCCTTCTTTCTCCCTTTCCTTCTTTCTCTTTTTCTCTCCTTCCCTCCCTCCTTCCCTTCCTTCCTGCCTTCCTTCCTTCCTGCCTTCCTGCTTTCCTTCCTTCCTGCCTTCCTTCCTTCCTTCCTTCCTTTCTTTTTCAGTCATGGGCCTGAACTCTGGGCCTGGGTACTGTCCCTCAGCTCTTCAGCTCAAGGATAGCACTCTAGTAGTTGAGCCACAGCACCACTTCCAGCTTTTTCTGCTTATGTGGTACTGTGGAATTGAACCCAGAGCCTCACACATACAAGGCAAGCACTCTACCACTGAGCCTCCTTCCCAGCCCCTCCTTCCTTTCTTTTTATGTGTGCCCATCCCAGGGCTTAAACTCAGGGCCTGGGCACTGTTCCTGAGTTTTTATGTGCAAGGCTAGTTCTCTACCACTTGAACCTCAGCTCTCCTTCTGACTTTTGATGGATAATTGGAGATAAGAGTGTCATAGACTTTCCTGTTTGGGATAGCTATGAACTTCAATCCATAGGTTTCAACCTCCTAACTGGTATTACAAGCATGAGCCACTGGTACCTGACTCATTTTCTTTTGGAAATACTTGGGTTTGTTAAATAAATAAAAGAAAAATAAGAAATATGCTTATTTACTAGCGTGCACAAGAAATTCACTCAACTAATTTGAGAATCTGTTAAAAAGCAAGTCTCTGTTGAGCCTTTAGAACCTTTGGAAAAGTGTCTTACAGATTATCTCATTCTGCCTTTTACTTGAGAAAACAAAAGCATAGACAGAGTTATACCAAGTTGCCATTGCTGCCTTCTTTTTTCTTCTTCCTTCTCTTCCCCCTCCTTCTTCTTCTCCTCCCCATCCTCCCCCTCCCTCTCCCCTCCCCCTTTTTCTTCACCTTCTCCTCTTCTTCCCCTTCCTCTTTATCCCCCTCTCCCTCCCTCCCCCTCCTCCTCCTTCTCTTTCTCCTCCTCCTTCTTCTCCTCCTCTTCCTCCTCCTCTATCTCTTCCCTTTCCCCCTCCTTCTTCCCCTCCTCCTCTTTTGATTGTACTGGAGCTTGAACTCTGTCCTGGAGCTGTCCCTGAGCTGTTTTGCTCAAGGCTAGGATTTTAACACTTGAGACATAATGCTACTTCTAGCTTTTCAGTGGTTAATTAGACATAAGAATGTCATAGACATTCCTGCCTGGGCAGGCTTTGAACTTCAATTATCAGATCTCAGTCTCTTCAGTAGCTAGAATTACAGGAGTGAGCTACCAGTGACAGGCTATTTCTCTCTCTCTCTCCTTCCTTCCTTCCTTCCTTTCTTCCTTTCGGTCCTCCCTTCCTTCTCTTTTAAAAAACAACCAGTGAGAGAGAAGTGAGGCAAACATGCTCAGAAAAATTCATTAGTTTAATTAGAATTTATCACAAGGTCTCTTATCTAATAGGTGGCAGAATCAGGATTTAAATTTGGCATCTTTGGATAAAACTTGAATTTTTTGTACTGCACTGTGTCATGATGTTTCTCTAATGGATCAACTAGTACTATATCAGAGAAGACTTTTCATTTGCCTGTAAAACACTAGGCTTCCCCAGTAGAGCCTTCCTCTACCATTTCTTAGCAGGTATCTTTGAAATGATTAAGCTTAGTCATTTATAGTATGACTTAGTTTAATTGGTTCCTAAATAATGCTCACCAAGATTTTTTTCTCTCCATCCAGACAAGGTTTCACTATGAGATCTAGACTGACTTCAAACTCAAGATTCTTTTTCTCAGACTCTAGAGATAACAAACATTCCCAAAAGCTTTTTTTTTTTTTTTTTTCAATATAGATGAAAGGAAGAGGGAAGGAAAAGGTAGGAATTGAGGAAGTGTTACTTGGAATATGAACAGACTGTTAATTTTCTGTGTGGCAGCCGGTATGTGAGGAGGCACGTGGCAAGGAACCTTGTAGAACACACACAGATGCAAGCTCTGAGTTTTTGTTTTGTTTTGGTCAGTGGTGGAGCATGAACCCTGGGCCTGGGCGCTGTCCCTCAGCTCTTCAGCTCAAGGTGAACTCTCTACCACTTGAGCTACAGCGCCACTTCCGGTTTTCTGGTGGTTTATTGGAGATAGGAGTCTCATGGTCTTTCCTGCCGGGGCTGGCTTTGAACCATGATCCTCAGATCTCAGCCTCCTGAGTAGCTGGATTACAGGCGTGAGCAACCAGTGCCGGGCAGCTCTGAATTTTTTTAAGATGTTCACAACTTATTCAAGTTTCATGAATTGACATAACACTCTTCTGTATGTTCAAGCTTGCTGAATGCCTCCTGGCTTCTCTGTTCCACATGAGGTCATGCGGAATCCCACAAAAGTGATGTTAATGCTAATGTTAATGTTGCATATACCTCCAAGAGAGAAAGTAGTGTTTATGGATTAAACCTGTGAGTGGAACTGCCCACAGAATTAGCAACCTCTCATTTCTGCTGACAACAGTAAGGTTTCCAAAATTAGGTGTTCTACAAACAACATGCCTCTTATTTTGATTTCTAAAATTATTTAATTTGTGTCACAATTAGCTTATAAATGCTGAAATTCTAGACTTAATAAATTACTGTGGGTGCAGAATTTCTCTTCAATGTCATTTCTAATGGGAGATGGTACAAAACATCTTGTAATTTCATTGACATTTTTCTTCTTAAATAAATGACTTTTTAGGACAGGGGTTGTGACTCAAGTGGTGGAATGCTTGCCTAGTAAGCGGAAGTTCTGAGTTCAAAACTTAGTACTGCAAAAACAACAGCAACAACAGTAACAACAGCCAGTATACAATAATAACAACAATAAAATAACAATAATTAAATAACAAAATAAATAACAATAAAACAATAAAATCAGTCAGTAGAAACAACAACCAAAAAAGTTTTTTTTTGGTGGGTCGTGGGGCTTGGGCGCTGTCCCTGTGCTCTTCAGCTCAAGGCCAGTGCTCTACCGCTTGAGCCACAGCACTACTTCTGGTTTTACTAGTGGTTTATTAAGAGTCTCATGGACTTTCCTGCCCAGGCTGGCTTTGAACCTCGATCCTCAGATCTCAGCCTCCTGAGTAGCTAGGATTACAGGCGTGAGCCACCGGTGCCCAGCCAAAAAAGTATTTTTTAAGGAACTAATGATCCCCAAGGAAAGACATAAGACACAGATGTGTGGTCTTAATACTGACAAACACACACACACACACACACACACACACACACACACACACACACACACAGAGTTATTCTCCCCAAATACCCCCTCCTTTTAGATAAAGTATTCACACCTCATAGTCAAAAAGTTTGTAGAATATAAGTTCTCCCATGGGATGGGTCAGAGATGTATCAAACAACAGTGGAAAGATTTAATGAAGTTAAATACAACACCAAAGCTATTCTTTCTAGTAAGTTTATGTTCAATTACCCTTAATCAGTATCTATTTCATTGGTCACATGGAGCAGGATGCCAAAATGGTAGTGGTGATGGTGACCTAGGTGGTTTAAGCTTGTCCTCATTTCCCATGCCCTCGCCCCGCTGATATCCTCTTCAGAGCAGATTTTACTTCTTGGTTCCTCAGTGTGTAGATGAGGGGGTTCAGTAGTGGAGTAACAACAGTGTAAAACACAGCCACTGCCCCATCCAGGGGACTCTTAGAGCCAGCCCGAAGGTAGATGAATATACAGGGGACATAGTAGACTGTGACCACAGTCAGATGCGAGCCACAGGTGGAGAAGGCCCGGCGCCTCCCCTCAGCAGTGCGCATCTTCAGGATGGCATGGACAATGTTGGCATAGGAAAGCAGAATTAGCATGAAGCAGCTGGCAGCCACCACCCCGATGTCTACAAACGTCACAAGCTCATTGACTTTGGTGTCAGCACAGGCTAGTCTCAACACCGCAGGAATGTCACAAAAAAAATAATCCACTTTATTGGGCCCACAGTAGGGCAGGCGAAAGGTGAGTGTGGCCTGGATAGACCCGTGGATGGAGCCAGCCACCCAAGCTCCAGCCACCAGAATGGTGCATAACTTGCCATTCATGAGCACAGGATAGCGCAAGGGCTGGCATATAGCTAGGTACCTGTCATAGGCCATCAAGGTATACAGAAAGCACTGCGTACTGCCCAGGCAGTGAAAGAAATACAGCTGAGCCACACAGCCACCAAATGGGATAACCTTGCTGGCAGGAGTGAAGTTTAAAATAAGTCGAGGGACGATGACTGAGGAGAGCCACATGTCCAGGAAAGAGAGCACACCCAGAAGAATGTACATGGGGCGGGCATGGAGCTTGGGGTCAGCCCACACAGTGAACAGAATGAGCAGGTTCCCCAGCTGAGTCAGGATGTAAATAGAGAAGAAGACCAGGAAGAGGAGAGTTCTTAAATTTGGGGGATGAGACAAGCCCATGAGAATGAAATCTGTCACCACAGTGTCCATTGATGTGTTTTTGTTTCTTTTCATGTCTTTTTGTAGTCTGTTCAGATGAAGGGTGAATCACACAAAAGGAGGTTACTGGAATGCACAGTGAGGTTACTGGAATGTTTTCATCTCATAATCAGAGCCTCTCAGGTAAACAGAGGACTTTTATTATTATTTTTTTAGTTTTTCCTGAAAGAATCTCCTACTTTTGCCCAGGTCAGTCTTGGACCATAATCCCTCTGCTTCTGCCTCTTAAATATCTGGGATTACAGATGTGAAACAGAACACTAACTTTTTTTTTTTTTGGTTGTGGGACTTGAACTCTGGGCCTGGGTGCTGTCCCTCAGCTCTTCAGCTCAAGGCAAGCGCTCTACCGCTTGAACTACAGCACCACTTCTGGTTTTCTGGTGGTTTATTGGAGATAAGAGTCTCACGGACTTTCCTGCCCGGGCTGGCTTTGAACTGCAATCCTCAGATCTCAGTCTCCTGAGGAGCTAGGATTACAGGCATGAGCCACTGGTGCCCGGCCACTAACGGCTTTGAGTTAGGGTCTTGCTAACTTTTTCTGGCCTGGCCTTGGGTTGTGATTGTCCTGTCTCTGTCTCCCAAGTAGATGGGACAGCAAGAGCACGCCACCATGAAGGACTTCTGCATTTTCAGTAGAAATATTTGCCATCAGTCATCTTAATTTTCTGGATAAGACAAACATCCAAGATGTCCTTAAATGACTTTCATGGGAAACCCAATGCACAAGCATTGGAAAAGGAAGCCCAGTGATGAGTCTGCGTACACAGACACACTTATATGTGTTTCACAGGTCTGAGCTTAAAGGGGGACACCATATCATTGAAATGTCCCCTCCCATGAGTACTTTACAAAAACCTTTATGATCTGGCCCTTCCTTATTCCAATGGTCTTCTTTCCTTCAGTGTCCTCAGACCCTTAAACATATTTTTTTTCTGTTCCACCTCTGAGGATCCTCTGTGTGCACGCAAGCGTGCACACACACACATGCACACGTGCACATATGTGCTAGAACTTTCAAGCCTGGGAATTGTCTCTTAGTTGTGCTTCTACACTTGAACCACAGCTCTACTTCTGGCTTTTCGGTGGTTCATTGGAGAAAAAAGTCTCAGACTTTCCTGCCCAGGCTTGCTTTAAACATGGATCTTCAGATCTCAGCCTTCTGAATAGCTGTGATAACAGTTATTAGCCATTGGTGTCCAGCCTGCCTCATCTTAACATATTTTTCTTCCTTGAATTTTATTCTGATTATTGCTTCTTTGGGAAGACTTTACTTCCCTTAAAATGCGATGTTCAAAGGTTATATAAGACAACTGCTATATAATGTTAAATAATTATTTGCTAGACCAAATCTAGTATTTTTTGTGTTGATGGAGGGTGGAACTGACTATGTAACACAGGATGAAATCACAATTCTTTCGTCTCAGCCTCTAGTGTGCTAGGATTATAGGCATGTGCCATCTTGTTCAGATCTCTATTTTGTTCTGCTGCAGTTGCCTGAGTGCTTGGTAGCAGTGAGTTAATTAAGAAATATTTGCAGACTGAGTAAATACTAGATAGTGCCAATCATCTATAATTCTGCATCGTCACAATTCTCATGATTTATGTCATAGAGTCTGGACTGTATACCAGAAACTTAGTATTTCAAGCAATGTGAGTCTATGCTGAGAGCTAACAAAGTTCAAGGTCCAAAGTCCATTGATATTTTCCATTTGTTCTGGATCCTACTTGGATTTATTGAGTAACATAAGATGTTGATTGTTTTTGGCCACTTGAATTATTTTGTGGCAAGAATAATTAAAATCTTACTTAACAAAAATCTTGAAACAAAACAATATAATCCTCTGCTTGTATATTAGATCTGTAGAATTGTTCGTTTTACATGTTTGTTACTTTGTATCCTTTATATATATATATATACATATCTATCTATCTATCTATCTATCTAAGGCTGAGTGTTATAATTCCAGTGCTCAGGAGGCTGAGGCAGGAAGATGGAGAGTTTGAAGCCAGCCTGAGCTTTACAGTGTCTCAAAATAATGACAATAACACAAATAACTAAAAGAAATAATAAAAATTAAACCAGTATGAGATTAATTTTATAGAGACCTGAGCATTTATGGATATAACTACAAGGATGACATTAGAAAAATGTCTTTTTATCAACAATGATCTCAAACATTTATTATTATTATTAGTAGTAGTAGTAGCAGTGTATTTAGAAAGAGTTAGCCAGGCACAGTGACTCACATAGGCAGTTCTAGCTACTCAGGAGGTTGAGATCGGGGGATTGCAGTTTGAAGCCCCTCATACATAAAGCTTGAAAAAAATCTCATCTCAATAGAAAAAAACTGGGTGTGATGATGTCTGCTTGTCATCCCAAATAAAGTAGAAAGTGTAAGTAGATGTATTATGGCCCAGGGAAAAGTGAGACCCTATATCAAAAACAATTGGGGGTGGGGAATAGGGCTGGTGTTGTGATGCAAGTAGTAGAGAACCTGCCTAGCAAGTGTAAAGCCAAAATCATTAGGTACATAACCTCCAATACTTACTAAAAACTCTGAATATACCTTACCTTACAGGTCCATAGAAATATTAATGGTAGCTTTTGTCCACCAAGAGACTTCTGCTATCTTATTTCTAGATGGAAGCACACTTGTATTCTTTCTATGATGGTGGGGTGATAACTTTTATGGCTAGAAGGAAAGAGCACAGTTAGAGAGCATTTGTATGTCCTCCCTTTCCCTTCTCTTCCCTACCCTTCCCTTTCTTTCTGTTCCCTTCCCTTCTTATCTCTCCTTTCCTCCCTCCTTCCCTCAATCCCTCCCTCCCTCCCTCCCTCCCTCTCTCTCTCTTTCTCTCTCTCTTTCTTCTTTCCTTTTGTGCCAGTAATGGGGCTTGAACTCAGAGCATTGTGTTCTCACTTGGCCTTTTCTGCTCAAGGTTGATACTCTACTGCTGAGCCACACTTCTATCTCTGGCTTTTTGGTGGTTAACTGGAGATAAGAGTGTCCAAGCTGGCTTTGAACCACGATCTTCAGGTCTCAGTCTAGTGATTAGCTAGGATTATAGATACGAGCCACCATCACGTATCAAAAAGAAAGTTTTAGCAAATCGCATCCTACTAGGATTATAATAAAAAGACAATTTATACATGATGAACATCAGGCATGTGAGGAATGAGAATATTGTTTTTCACTACCCATCTGGGGGATCTATAAGGGAGCACCCGCTATACTTTCTCAAGAGTTTTGCTAGGGGAAGGCTCCCTCTCTCTGCTCCCTTTCCTGTTAGGGCATTCTGGCTGGCAGTGGATTATAGTGAGTGAGTGAGCCCAAGGGTCCAATCCTGGGAAAGACAATGTGAGTTGGTGGTTTTGATTTGAAGAAGGGTTCCAGCAGGAGGTACACTGGGGGGGGGGGGGGGGGTTAGAGGGGAATTCCTGAAAGTGGAAGCCCTGTAGGAGCAGGGATGCCTTTGTGAGATTGTCACAACAAAAGGAGACATTTTAGAAAAGAGCACATGCTTTTGTTTTGCCTAGAAAATAAAACAAAAGGGGAAAATGAATCAAATGTTTCCTCTTTCACAGAAATTTGACATCTATCTATCTGTCTGTCTGTCTGTCTGTCTGTCTGTCTGACTGTCTGTCTGCCTGCCTGCCTGCCTATCTATCATCTAGCTAGTTATCTATTGTTTCTTGAGACATCTCACTATGTAACCCAGGGTGTCCTCAAACTCAAGATCTTCCTGCCTTGGCTTCTTGAGTACTGAGATTACAGACTGGTTCCATCATATTCAGCTTAAATATATTATTTTTTCTTTTTTTATTGTAAGGGCGACGTACAAAGAGGGTACAGTTACATAAGTACGGTAATGAGTACATTTCTTGTCGAACATTGTTACTCCTTCCTTCATTTTCTCCTGCTTTTCCTTGTCCCTAAATACATCATTTTACTATAGGACTACTAATCTTTTGAAGCAGTGGAATCTCAAGCTATATGAATTGAAGAGTGAGGAAAATTTAGATTCATCAGTTAAAAAAACTTAAAGTATTAATATCTTGGCTTATTTGAAATATATTCTAAAATTTCCTCCTTTAAATAGTTTTTTTTTTTTTTTTTTGTCAGTCGTGGGGTTTGAACTCTGGACCTGGGCACTGTCTCTCAGCTCCTCAGCTCAAGGCTAGTGCTCTACCACTTGAGCCACAGTGCCACTTCCCTTTAAATAAGTTAAAGTTTAAATTTAATCTTTTTGTGCCAGTATAATGCTTGAACTCAGGGCCTTCAGCTCTCAGTTTTTTCATGCAAGGCTGGCATTTGGCCACTTGAGCCATATTTCTATTACTGGATTTTTGCTGGTTAATTGAAGATGAAGTCTCTGAACTTGTTTGCCCAGGCTGGTTTCAAACTTTGATCCTCAGTTCCCAGCCTCCTGAGTAGCTAGAAGTGAGGCTTGAGCCATCACTGACGTGCTGAGCTAAGTTTTGGATAGGACACATTTGGTTTGTGACTACCTCTATATCTTAAATTGTGGGATGAGGAATCTTACTATTGTCTGCTTCTAGAATTACACTCACATTTATTACCCCTTTAGGTCATGACTGAACAGACAGTCGTGGGAAGGAGAATAAACAAAATTTGGACAAAATGGAGCTGGGGCAGAATCCTCATTTCTCTTGTTCTGATTGTTTTACAAATGTCATTGCATTCTAACATTAAAAAAATGTTTAATTAGGAAAAAATACTTGAAGCCGGGCGCCAGTGGCTCACGCCTGTAATCCTAGCTACTCAGGAGGCTGAGATCTGAGGATCGCGGTTCAAAGCCAGCCCCAGGCAGGAAAGTTCGTGAGACTCTTATCTCCAATAAATTGCTAGAAAACCGGATGTGGTGCTGTGGCTAGAGCAGTAGAGCGCTGGCCTTGAGCTGAAGAGCACAGGGACAGTGCCCAAGCCCAGAGTTCAAGCCCCACGACCGAGAAGAAAAAAAGAAAGAAAGAAAGAAAGAAAAAAGTACTTGAGAGCCAAGCACTTGATGGTTCAGGCCT